GGCCTTTAAATTTTTACATTTACATTGGTCACGAAGATAAATCATTTGGTGTAAAGTCAGATACCATGTGCATTGAATCGAGTATAAAATGTTTTCTTCGCTATGAAAATTCGCTGTCGTGAAGAATATATTTTATGTAACTTTAGAAAAAAAAACCTTTTCAATATTGTCAAACTTAAGATTAGAAAAATCAACAAAAAGAAAAATAGTTAGCATTTCAACTTATAAGGTTAACTAAATGTATTATGAAATTTATACAATCTTAGTTTTATATTATCTCATCTCAATATATCATTTTTCCATTCCGACATGAAAAATTAATAATAAAATGAGTGGAAATCCAAATAATACTTAAATATTGTCATATGTTAATTATACCTTATTTAATATTTTTTTATAGTATTATTTTTTTATTATTTAAACGTATTAATTTTTTCATTATTATTAATCATTTAACGGATTTTATTTAATTTTCCCTCAACTCCATATTGCTGCAATAACGTTAATTTTAAACCAGCAACGTTTATTTAATACATAAATTAAAATGCATTAACTTCAACGTTTCATTTTCAAAATTCGTCATTCCAAATGGATTTTAAATGTATTAATACAATATATTTTTTAATAAAAAAAATAATAATAATAATAATAATAAATTTATATTACCTTCCATTTCAAATTAAATTTGAATAAAAAAGTATTCAGGACGGCATAATATCAAATAAATAGATCAATGTGCAAGATATAATCCTGGTTAAAAAAATAAAATACATCCAAGCTTAAATTTTTCTAGCAGGATTTTTCATAAGGTTAATAAATAATTTTAATTGCTTTTTTTTACGGGTTATCAACCTTTTTGCATGGTGTTAAAAAACAGAAAATATTTTTAAATTGTATGAATTTTTTTGAAATAATAATAGTTTAATGCAGCAATAAGTTTTGTAAAAAATAACCATACCTGGGAAGGAATTTTTGATTTAAATTTATTTTCAAGGCTGCAAGAAATAAAAAAATAATACCAGCATGCGATAAATTTTGTTAAAAAATTTATCAACAATACATTTTTTTGAAAAAAACCAGCCACGAAATAATTTTTTTTTTAAACAAAATATTACCAACTCTAAAACTCATCTAGGCATTAAATAACAGGTTCGACGTTGGGATGATTAACAAACAAATGAAACCAAAAATTTCAATGGATGTGGTTCGTTATAATAGAAAAATCAAATAAGAGAAAAAAAGTAATGCTAATAATTAATAACATTACGATCTGCAAAAATTTCTTTCGACGAACCCTGGTTTTCTGTTTTAAAATCCCAAAACAGTGAATTTGATTTTTTATCCGTAATGTAACAACTCTGAAAAGGGTTATTTAATAAAAAATCGTTAAACCTATTGAATTCTTCAATTTCATGGTCATATTTAAATCTATAGATTGAAAACCAATTATCCGTAATCAAATATTCACGTTTAAATGTAAATCACTAATATTTTAACTCTTTATATGTATCGTTGGTATTTTTTTATAAAAATAACGCAACCTTTATTATAAAATGTTTTCTTATTATTTCATAGTGTTTGGCTTTTACAGTTGTCAAAAACATTTGAATTTTTAAACGCTAATTAAAGTGCTTTTCACCGACGGATTAAACTATTGCAACGGCAATTATATAATTAAATTTTATGATAATGGCAACCTCCAATCTGGATCAGAAGATCATAAATAATCCATTTAACTTATATTCAACTGTTCTAATATAATATATATATATATATATATAAATAAATATATATTTATATATATATATATATATATATAAATATTTAAAGATTCTTTCAATCTATATATATGATAAGCCAAAAAGTCTTAATATATATATATATTGTGTTTGTGTGTTTTAATAAAAAAAATATAAAAATTTATATAAACTGAAAACAATTAAGATACATTGAATGGATTTGATATTCATAACCTACAAATTTGTAGGTCTGTTACATTGTGGGATTCCAATGTAATAAATATTCATTATACACATAAAATTTTTATTTATTTTATTTCAACTAATGAATAAACATACTTTTCATATGATTAATTGTACACAGATGCATAATAACTAAATATGCATAGAAAACAGAAAAAAATTTGATTTAATAGAAATAAATCCCATTTATCCATTTTAATAGGTGAAAAAATATTCGTACAATGCAAATTTCAGATTTTAAAACTTTTAAATTGCTTTAATACTCTAGATTATTCAAGTGGAATATTCTAGAATGTTCCAATAATGTTATCAGTAGTTATTTTTAGCCTAAAAATACAAACAGAACATTCTGTAATTGATATTTGTGCAAGAAGGTTATCATCATGGCAAGAGGTAAAGAATTGACAAATTCACAAAAAAGAACTGATTGTTAAGCTCTGGAAAGAAGGTAAAAGTTACAGGAAAATCTCAGACAACCTGAATATTCCATTTACTACCATTAGTTCATTCATTGCAAGGTATAAAAAACTCAAAACTGTTGAAAACCAAAGAAGAACAGGTGCTCCACGGAAGATTTCTTCAAGATCTTTGAGGAAATTAATGCGTCAAATTAAACAAAATCCAATGGTTACTCGTCAAGAGTTGCAGGATGATTTGATTTCATCAGGAATCTGTGTCACTAAACAGACAATAAGCAATGAAATTCATAGGAACAATCTAAAGTCACGCTCCCCTCGGAAAACTCCACTGCTATTGAAAAGACACAGAGATGCCAGGTTGAAATTCGTTTCGTGAACATAAGGATAAGGAAAAATTGTATTGGGAAAGAGTATTATGGACAGACAAAACCAAAACTGAGTTGTTTGGACGTAATTCTAGAAATCATGTATGGAGGAATGATGGCGATGCATTCAAACAAAAGAAAACAGTTCTAACAGTGAGATTTGGTGGTGGAAGCATCATGGTTTGGGGATGTTTTTTCTACAAAAGGTAATGACAACATATCAGTAATAGATGGTAGAATGAATGCCGTAGCATATCAAAATATTTTTGAAAGCAAATTTAATGATTTCGGTTGCAAATCTTGAACTTCCTTCTGATTGCATCTCCCAACAAGATAATGATCTTAAGTACACTGCAAAATCTACGACGAAATGGCTTGCTGAAAATAATGTAAATATCCTGAAATGTCCAAGTCAGTCCCTAGATTTAAACTCAATCGAGAATCAGTGGCTTTATATGAAAATTCAAATCGAATCGAGAACTCCAACAAAAATCCCGGATCTGAAGAAAATATACGAAGAAGAATGGAACAAAATACCAACTAAAATTTGTAAATCATTGAGAACTACAAGAAGAGGTTGGTTGCTGTAGAAGTGAATAATGGCTATTCTACAAAGTTAAATGAAGATTTTTTTCTTTATAACTGAAATTTACAGACATCTGAAAGCAATAAAACACTCAACGCATCCGCAGAATATTACCTAAAGGGAGGACATTTTTACATCGTGACAACAAACGTATGCGCAGTAACCAACGAACCATGTAAATGACATGAAGCTTGAAATTTGCTTGTTGCAAATGCTGCATAGACTCCCGATTTGATACTGTCAAACTGTTGATTATTCCTGAAATCGAAAGAAGAATTTAAAAGTCAATTTTCTTTTCATCCTAAATAAAGATAAATCTGTTCACTACTGTGAATCGAAAGTAAATCAGAAATATTTTCATGGGAAGAACTAAAAAAGAGGAGTGTTTTCAAGTACACTATTTACATTATTCAGACTATTGTCCTAATCTTTGCCGCCATATTTATTACAACGTTTCGACCGTTGTAAGCTCCGACTCTGTTTTCAAGTTGTGTTCATTTTTAATCATTATATCGAAAAAAACGTTGAAGTTAAAAGACAAACCATTTCATTTTGATAGTGGTTTCATTATTCTACCTGGTCTAAAATTTGTTTTGAAAGACCGGGGGTCTTACTCATCAAACTAGCCACATAATTTTGAAGAGAAATAAGTTTATTTCATTTTGATCCATTATTCTATCTAGTCTTTAAAATATTTGTAGCCTTATTTTTAATCTTTTCACCCCCCTACAAGCAAGGCAATAATGTCACTAAGACGCAAGAGATTACTGGGAGTGAAAAAGAATGAGAAGACTCTAGAAAGAACCAGAAACCAAATCCTAAACAAGAAACAAGGGATAAATCTCTGCTTGTGTTCAAAACACAGGAAAGAATCGGAAACGGGTGATAGGCAAACCTATCTACTCCTATGAAAGAAGAATCAATTAGCTTGCTTTTCGATGGTTGTTTTTTTAAACCCAGTTTAATATGATTGGATATTTAACAATCAACATCCGTAGAAGAAAAAAATCTTTCTGGTACCGGTTGATAGCTGATTACCCCATATTTACTAAGGTTATCGCAGAATAACTCCGAATAACTATTGTAGGAAACACATTGAAGATTAAAATGATTACAGTCGTTATTGGCTCTAAGACTAGCTTGATAAACACTGTTCCAAGCTGAGAGCTCTTATAAGAGGATTTACTTAGCTTTATTTATCAGTTATATATAAAAATTAATAGAAAATTTGTTATTGACGCTTCAAATGCCCGTTATGTGATTTTCAGCATAAAATTTCTTAGAGTAAATAATTCTAGAAAAAAATTAGTTTAGTTTTACGTATTCATCCTAAAACATTAATGATAACTTGAAATATACGCAATATTTTACTTCTCGTGGTGAAAAAGGAATTAAAATCTATAATATAAGAAATAAAAGCAGAAAGTATATACAGAAAATGGACAGCATTTCATAAGATTCATGTGCAAATGCTCTCAAGGCTATTTCTTATTTTCATCCAACAGTGAGGCTCTTACTTTTATATCTTCAGTGACATTTTCGTGATTGTTTCGCATCACTGAAAGTTTCTGTTAAATTTTACGCTTTCCGATTTTATTCTAGATTACAAAAGGATGCGAGTTAATGTCTTCGTTATTCTCATTCAAAAATGATTTACACTTCCGGTTTGTGCATTTTCGTCATCTTCCCGTCTTTTTCTTTTATTTCTTTGCTTTTTTTTTTTGCTATTTCTTTCCTTTTCTCTTTCTTCTATCTTTCTTTTTCTTTATTTCTTATTTTTGCATATTCTTCTCGTGTATGCCGATTTCATTTATTTCTTGTACATGATTTAATATATTTCTGTAATTTCTTAATCCTCTCACAATTCATCCTTTCCTTTTTCTATTTTTTTTTTCATATTATTACAATTATCCTTATATTTTTTCTTACTTCATTCATGATTCATTCCCTCCTTTCTTTACACTATTTCTTTTTTTTATTTGTATCCTTTCTTACGAATTCGCCATGTAATCTTTTTTTTATTTCTCTCTTTTTTTTCCACGAATCACTTTCTTTCCTTATTTTCCATTCTCGTTTTCTCTTTATACCACAACACCTTCCGTTGTTCCACTCTTTCTTTCAACTTCTTTCTTCATTCAATCTTCTCCCCTTTTTTTCTTTCTTCATCACTTTCTCTACCTCTTCAACTCTTTTCCTCATTTTCACTCATCTTTCTTCTTTCTTTTGTCACTTCTTTCTTTCACATCCTTCCTATCTTTTTTTTCATCCCTCATTCATTATTTCCTTCATTCATTTTTTTCAATACCTTCATTACTTCATTCCTTTCGTTTCTTTCGTCCTTTCGTTTTTTTTTCTTTTCTTACGCATCATTCCTTCAATTCTTTCCTTCCTCCTTCTTTCATCTTTTTCCTTTTCTTTTTTAATTTTGATTTCGTTTTTTCTATTTTGTTCAAAAAAATTCACATTCGGACTTTTTTCATGTCTGTCTTTCTTTTAACTTATGAAATTTTCTTTTCTCTCCTACTATTATTTTTTGTTTCCTCTTTTTTATATATCAACAAAAAAAACTTACAACAAAAGCAAGTTTTTATTTATTATTGTATTTTCTATTCGCTCTACTTCAACGAAAAAAAAACGCAATTTTTCATCCAACCCTTGTCAGGTAACATATTCTGGCTAATAGGCTGTTGAAAGAAACTCCTGTCAGAAGTACAATTTAAAATGACTAGTTCTTATTTTTATTTCGTGTACGTTGTAGAGAGTGCATAAGTGCGCATGCACTTGAGTTTATTTGACCGTGTCTGAGAAAGGGGATTTTGGCTGTTTAAGATTGCATGGTTTATATCTTACGTGTCTTCCTTCGCCATAGGTGACCATCTTCATGACATCTTTGCTGCTCTGATGACTTTATAGTTTCACTTCATCACAATTACAATAAACGTTGCTGTAGGCTTTCATGACATTCATTCCTCAGATATTTATCACTCACTCGGTACAGACATGGGTGTAAGACGCAGTAAATTTGCGCATGGTTGCGTGAAAAAGTCAATTTCAAATTGTTGAACTGTCAACGAGTCGAGGTGATAAGCTGATTTTTTTTCTGTAAAAATATATATGTATATGTCTTAAAGTTGATATTAATGTAAAGCTAATTTTCAAGTTATCTGTGATATTGATTAAGACAAATCTTCAAGTTATCTTAGATACTGATCGGAGTAATGCTGGTCATCAAGCGATCTATGATACTGGTTGGGTGATTTTCAAGCTATCGATGATGATAATTGAAGATTATGACACTGATTGAAGACTATTTTTAAGCTATCTTTGATATTGATTGGGGTAAAACTGGTTTTCAGGCTTCTTCTGACAGCGACTGGAGTAAGGATAGTCCCTCAAACTATGATGCTGCTTGATTTAAGGTTGGTATTTAAGCTATGATAATGATTGGAGGTTGACTTTCAACACACCTGCCTTATTCTTAAATATTTCTGTTGTGACCAAGCATATAGATAAGAAATAACAAAACAAGAGGTTGCAGATAAATAGTGTATTGAGCAGTAAATACAACAGAAGTGTATTACACGACTTGGGAGTGTGTGTCGGTTGACCAGCTTTCAATCTATAACACTGTTTCCACCCCCAAGGCCTACTTATCCTTCTAACTTTATAGTAACAGGAAGAGTCCACAATGGTCTCATTAGATGGGGCACACCACAACAAATTCCTTTCGAGGTCTAGATATACAACTTGATTCTATACAATGGATGAACTCGTCCATTACACTCATTTTTTCAGTTGCCATCTTCATATATTAAGAAACAGTTAGTCAGAAACACAAAATAGTAATTTTAATTTTTTAGTAGTTTTACTACTATGTAAAATCAATTCCCCTATATGGTAATGAAAACTGGACAATTTCCACACAAGTGAAGAGGAAACTTTGTGTCGTCAGAGATGTGACTTTACAGATTGTTGGATGTAAAATATGTGTTCAACGTGGAAGTTTGAAGGAAAATGGAAACAAAGAAAATACCTGTACTTAAAAATCAGTAAAAAGACAATTGAAATTTCTTGGACACATGACGAGGAAATCAAGGCTTGGAGAATTTGACATTTGCAAAATATACAGAAGGTAAAAGGAGACAGGAGGGAGTAACCTTTACCTACCAAACTTGTGCAAATGAATGGTAAATCATGAAGTGGGAAAGATAGTAAAAGCAAAAATTGCTAAGAGCTACAAATGAGAAGTTGTATATAGTCATAATCGCCCACAACTTAAAGAGACATGACACATAAATGAAGAACCTTGCTAGCATACAATATGTTCTAAAATATTAGATTTGATTTTAGCTATACTCTTTATGTTGATAGTAAAAAAATCTCCACAGTAGAATCTGTAAATGTATTTCGAGCAAGAGTTGATTTGTCTCGCTCTGGTACCCAGTTACAACCACATTTATGGTTAGCTCGAACAACAATGTCTTCTACGGCTAGTCCTACAAAGTGACTGCCTTCCCTCGGGTTGGTGCATAAGACTGTCTTGGTGGATAAACCAAGACTGCCTACGGTAGAGCTCAAGTTGAATCTGTAATCGATAGTGAGGATAATCTGGATTGATACCTTTTCTGTTATTGCTAAGGAAACATTAGCTTTAATCGAAATCTGTATTCGTCTTGTCGATTCGGTCTTCCTTATGTTACTCTGCACTTCAATACAGTAGATATCTACAATGCAGGGAGTGTTGGATTCAAGCCTTTCCGAAGAGTATTACGTCTAAGGGAACATAAGCTACCCCTGTCGAAAATTGAACTTTGAGGATTTCGCTTAGAAATACTGATTTATTTTTTGATATGCTTCTAGGCTCTCGGTGATAAAAATAGTTATTTTTCACTTTCAACGACTTCGTGAATTATTCACTGTTAAAAATAACCCCCTCTTTTTGCAACATTGTTTTTTTTTCTTCCTTAAATCACACTTTAACACTTATATTTGAAAACACAGATTGTCCATAAATCAATATAAAGTAAGTGGCTATATATATGGTCATTTATGGATAAGAATGTTTCAGCATGTCAACAATTTGACTTTGAAACTCATTTACTTACATAAAATGGCATAGACATTCTTTATCCAAAAATAAAACAAGGTTGATAATAAAACTGAACTTCGATCAATCTTTATTAAAAAAAATATGTTGGCTTATGGCCTCATCACGTTGAAAACCCCGGTTCCCGTACGATCACCGATGTTAAGCAACGTCAAACCTGGTCAGTATGGGTGACCGCTTGGTGATACCAGGTGCTGTAATCTTGGATGTGTATAATGGATAATGGCTCGGTATTGTTAATAGGAGAGCTGAGTTCCAATTCCAATTGGGTACGTTAGATTCTCTTATGCGCAAATACCGTAGGGAAAGGCATGATTCCACATCTTATCCTTCCAGCTGTAGTTTAATTAGTAAGAATTGTATCATTAAATCTTTAGTATCTACCCCCCCCCCTCACAAAAACAATCTTAGAATCTAAAAATAGTATCTGGTTTTAAATAAACTGTAAAGTGTTGATAAGCCATAGAAAACAAATGAATCTAAAACAATGAGCTTCTCCTAGGCTATCATTTACGGGGAGGGGGGGGGATAGGTCTGGAAATCCTGCTTACTAAGGAATATGTTGAATAACTTGCTGAGCCTATTGAATAAAAAAGAATCGTAAATGGAACATTACATCACCTTTTTGTTTCATGGAAAAGTTCTTGTATGAGGCACTGTTCAGTGTTTTCTCTACAAGTAGCATAGTCACTTTCCCCCAAAATTTACAAAATTCAAGAAACATTATACTTAATAATTGTGTATGTATGAGAGAGTGTGTGAGTGAACAAGTGAGAATGAAACAAAACAAGATTTCAAGAAACGTTATTTTCCTTATGAAATCAAGCATGCGATTAAGTAAGACCAAACACGGACCATATGTTTCCCCCATAACCGTCCTAGAGGTTCAGCCTGGACAAATATAAACTGAACGATATTCTCTCCCCGGTTCTAATTCACGCACAAAAAAGATCATCATTTGTTCGAAAGTAGAAATCTACTCTTATCACTTATATTGCAGAACCCCATTCAATCGCTTATGTATATGTACGATGATACCATGGCGTAAACGGAAGGCAAGAACAAGTCATGCGCATTCGTACTCCTGCTGCAAATTAACGATTCCAAACAGTCCTTGTTGGTATTTGTTCAGTTCTGTGTTGTTAACGCCGTGCTGTCTGCCACTGACGACCTTACAAGGCGTTGATATTGGCGAGCATCTGCAATGTGCGGTCGTTCAGAATCAGGGTCACGGGTGTAGGAACGTTCATTTTGAAAGCCACTGATACATCACCTCCAACATGATCGGTAGTCGACCGAAATGACCATCAAGCCACTTGCGGGGCCGCAATCCGACAGCAATTCGCAATTTCAAACAGTTCTAATTGAACAAATGGGGCATGTGTGCGTGTCTATAGCATGCCACCTGCATTTACTGCACTATTTTTCACTTGCTGTGCCTTGTCGTTTCATGTGTCTAAAGCTCAGATGCAGAAAGTGCACGCATATGAGTTTTATTGCGCCACAAAATGGCCGAAAACTTTAAACATTTTATCAGAATATCTAATATCCATTTGCATACAAATATTTCACACGCATCAAAATCGCCATCGTCTTTCATTGTGCTTTATAAAATATGACATATGTATATATATATATATATATATATATATATATATATATATATATGTGTGTGTGTGTGTGTGTGTGTGTTCTTGTGTGTGCATGTGGAGACTGGTGCTATAAAAAGAAAACTACATCACATATCAAATCGGCATTTAATCTCCTTCAAAGTAGTCCCCTTCTAAAGCCACAAACATTATCCAGTGTCGTATCAATTGATGGAAGCATTCCTGGAGCTCCTTTTTAGGGATAGCGAGCATCTGCCTTGTCGCATTATCTTGGCTTTCTTGACGTCTTGAAATCTTGTTCCTTTCAAGTCGCAAAGGGCGAAATCTGGGAATATGGTGGTTGTCGGACCTGGGCAAATTTGTGCGAGGTCAAAAACTGCTGCAGAATCCATAGCCACTGATGGAACCTCTGTGGTGTAGTGTGACGACCACACTTTTTACACTGTCCTTCTGTTGTAACCTAGAAAGGACTACTGAATGAGGAATAACCAATACGGAGGTTGGAAATGCAATGGTAATATTTATAACATACACAATACTCACCAGTGGCATGAAGTAAGGTAAACCACTGCTTGTGGTGGACTACCTAAACAGCATATTACTCCCACTTACAATGTCTAATGTATTTATGAGTATTGGGGCATACCCATTAGTGTTCATAGGTATGGTATATAACACCTAAGCACAGATATAAACAACGGAAGTGAGCGAGAAACTTAATGTATATACGCGATACTGCTCAAAGTTAAACGGCTCCACTCTACACCTCACTTTTTCTTT